CCCCAAAACCCCAAAACCCCAAAACCCCTGAGTCACTTAATTTATCAGTTAAATGGCAAAATTCAATTCTTAATTTTAAATATAAACTCAAAGTCTAAAATGAAACAACAAGCAACTGCTGGCAACACATTCAGCTAAGTTTCGTTAAGTCATCTCCAGCAAGAGTAGAGAGAGGAGCAGTTTTCGACCAAAAAGAGAAAACTAGACTAGATTTCACAGTAGGACGAGAGCACTATGTAGATTGGAAGTAGTCTATAGCTAGAGAGGAAACTCAGCAATATTCTCAGCTATCCATCTTTTTAGATTAAATAAGATCAATTGAGCGGATAGCAAGATTTTTCATTGTCTAAGAGAAGAAAGATGAATGATGTGACAGTTAACGATGCAAAGTATCTCTTTAATAAGATAGATCCCTAGTCTTAAGGGAATTCTAAGAGTAAACAGCAGCCTCTACGATTGATATCCAATGATAACATGATAAATCAAGTCTAGAGTTCATATTAGTCAGATCTCTATATCTCACAGAAGAAGCATGCTTTTTCTCATCAATCAGACTCTAAATTTAAAGTTAATGGGAAAGGACGAGTTGAGTTCCAAAATTTGAGATAAAACCAAATGACACAAAGTAGGAATGCAAACTACTCAAGCATGGCAAACTTTGACAATTTTTCAGATCACTTATCTTCTCATCAATAATTCGTGGAGGAAGAATCAGCTCACTCAATTAACACTTAATCATAAAATGTTGATATCAGTATGGGGATCTAGCAAATGAATATCAAATCGCCTTCCAAAAGGCTTTCAAGAATAAGCGAGGTAAGTCATGATCTTGCTAAGAGTTTGAATCGATAAGCCAGGAGGTCTCAATCTCATTATGAGAAAACTAATACTTCAGGTGCAAGGCAGACTGCTGACAATTACATCAATTATGGGCAGGAAGATATGATCATTGAGTCTGACTTAATTTAAAACCGAGAAAATGTAGAAATCCTAAGCGATCACGCCTAAATAGGCACACCTAACTAAGAACAGGAGGATTTCTAGGATGATGATCGCTTCCCGGAATTCAGTCAGATATATATCTAGGAAGACCAATCAATGGTATCTTATGACTCAATAAAGCAAGATGAGCATTTGCTGTCTGACTTCCTTATTCAAAAGTAGTACTATCAAGAGCTGACAAGAGATGAATAAAGAGGTTTTTGCTATGTGCCTATTTTACCCCCTGGCTATGAACACGAGGACATAGATCCCTTAAACACAGCGATGATTCAATAAATTTAATCACTGCCAGGTTCAAAGATCAAGGACTTCTCAAGACCCATGATATTAAAGCAGTCATTGAGGACTAAACAATTCAGGTCGAAGTCTTGGAGTTTCACTAATTATTACGACTGAGTTTGCATTTTGTTCTGATAGGGGTTGTCATCTGATACAATCAATTAATGTTTGATTGAAGTCTTAAGCACACACTATAATTAATATTCTAGCTTAATTGTTATTAGTTTAAATAGATGTCATTTGTATATAATTATTTTCATTCTTCTTACATACATTCATATTTCTCTGAGGGGTTTTGGGGTTTTGGGGTTTTGGGG